GGAGTGGAACATATGCAGAATACAACCTAAGGTTTTATTGTCTCAGTTTAAGGTTTCAATGTTTTTAACCTTGACCTTATTTCCTCTAAAAAGAGAGTCTTTTATTCATCCCTGGGCTTAGCTCGAAGTTCAACTGAACGACGTGGTGCAGCGGGACTTTTGAACGACCCAATGCTATAAGAGGAACTAGTCAAAGGAGATTTTATTGCCCGTAATTTGAGTAAATTATTGCACGTAATGAGAATATTTTATTGCCATTAGTTCCTTGTAAACGATTTACCATAGATGAGCAATAAGGAAGTCTAAATATGTTGAACGTAGTTTTTATGTGTGACTTCTCATTAAGCCCATTAGGATACCATAAGCACTTGATGCATATAAACTTCAAAATACTCGTGAGTACAGCGCTGGCGAGTGTTTTCCAAGTTTACTGTACAGCCCCCGTGTATACTCGACAATACTTCTGGACTATAAATGTTAAAGTATCGTATCGTTGAGTTTTGGGGTATTACAGGGAACGACGGAAATCCTTCCCTCGTGGTACAAGAGAAGTATATTGAAATTTGTATACTGCAATAATATTTCGAGGTTGGGTTTTGCAGGAAATTATATTACATTGAATTTATTCAGGTGATAAGGACTGCGTTGTTTCGACGTCAATGAGTGCTCGTGACCAAGTTGTTGCGACCAATTTTCTAGTACAACTAGCAAATTCACAATTAATGCTTCCAGTAAACCAAACCGTCATTGAGACAGAGCCTTCGTGGACGAGAGATTGAAAGCCCCACAAGACACTTCTACCCCATCGGCAATCCTTCGCGGTATCATGGTCAGCCTCTTCTCGGCTGCGGACACCGCAGATTTTTAGCGGGGCCATTTGCTGGAAGATCAGCTTGCTCGTCAGATGGCCCCGCATCCAAAGGGTGAATCGACCTGTCATATTGTCTCGCACAATCATTTTTGATTATGTATTTTGTATTGAAGTATTCATTACTTCTCTCAATATTTGTTCAGTTTCTTCCTGAGCGAGTCAAACTATTTGGGCGAAAACTACAGTGCAGCATTTTCGCTGCTGGCAAGCCAATATTACATGGTATCACAAGAGGTGTTAATGCATTTTGTGGGAGCAGTCTATGGCTTTTCACATCCATTTTGCGCGAAGTTGGCTTACGTAGTTATTCGAAAAAACGCACCACATATTTCTGTTGTTGTGAGTGAGCGAATAAACGCCCCAGATACAATGAGGAAGGTGTAGAATGTATGTGTCAACTTAATTAATGATTGAGCGAAGTTATCTTCTTGGTGCGATAAGATGAAAACAATATTTCTCTGGTGCGGTGTTCCAGTCGTTCCTGGAATTATCTTGACTTAGTAAGAGTTATAGAGGGATCACAGCGATGACAGCGGGCACCAAAACGGGGAAGGCAATCTTACTTTGACATCATTTATACCTAGCAGTTAATAGTGTCATTATTGGAATATGTTACGTTTTGAACCGCCTACTAACGGTAGCACGAAAGTGTGAAGGTGTGGGCGGTTTAAGAAACGATACCAAATCGCACTTAACCTGACACGTTCACCTGGAAGCTAGAGTCTTCACGGGGACTTGGAGCTGCGGTGAGACTGAAAATGGGCTGAA